GGGCTGAGTGTGTAGCTGCATAGACCCATTCTGGCATGCAGAGCTGTTTGTTGGCCTGGCCTACATTCACAGCTGAGTCCCTGTGTGCGTCCCTGTGTGCGTCCCTGTGTGCGTCCCTGTGTGCGCCCCTGTGTGCGTCCCTGTGTGCGTCCCTAGAGAGTGCAGCCCAGAAACAAACCCAAGCATGAGCGCTGGGCTCAGTCTTATCACAGGTGTTGGTTCACAAAACAGAATGTGGAGGAGTTTAGAAAAGTGTTCAGACATAATAATGAGGAAAAGGATCATCTGAACATTATCTTATTACCAACTTTATTTTGTGCTTTAAGGGTTGTTTTGGATTTAAGATCATTGGACTGGCGAATTATTCCTCTTGTCTTAATATTGTAGAGGAATCGTTAAAGCACTGTGGTTTGCAGGTCTTATATGTGATAAACAGCATTTAGCATTTAACACACTAAACACTGTATGCAAGACTGTTGGTACCAGGAGCTTTCGATTTATCACTTTAAAATATGATTTTAATGAAAAGGTTATAGAGGAAAAGGGTTTGTCAAGAGAGTTCATGAAGATCATGGAAGAATCTGCAACAATGGAAAATGGACACTACTGACTGAAGTTACCTTTTAAAAAGGATAACATAAAGATGCCAAACAATTTCTTCATAGTGAAACAAAGATTGCAAAGTCTAAAACAAAAACTTCTCAACAATGAACAGTTGCATAAATGATATAAAAGCTTCATGGACGAGATGATAAGTAACGGATATGCAGAGCAAACGGCTTACAAAAATGGAAACAAGTGGTACATTTCTCATCGTCCCAGGAAGGATGTAAAAGAATTGTATTTGACTGTGGGGCATCATTCCAGGGGACATCATTAAACAAGCAGCTCTCACAAGCTCATTGATGGGGTTTTGCTTAGATTTCGACAGGATCCAGTCACATTTATGGGTGACATAAAGACAATAAAGGACATAACTGAGTTTCGCGTTCATCTGTTCGGTGCAGTATCTTCCCCGAGCTGTGCCAGTTTCGCTTTGAGAAAAACAGCTGAGGACAATCAAACTGAATTCCTAGACAAGGTATGTGAAGCAGTAAAAGAGAACTTCTATGTGGACGACTGTTTGAAGAACGGGGCCTCCACCTCAGATGCTGTTGATTTGGTCAAAGATCTTTCAGCACTTTGTCAAAGGGGAGGATTTACACTGACCAAGTGGGTCAGTAACAATTGCACGCTGTTGCAAAGAAAATAATTAAATCTTGATAGAGACAAACTTCCTGTAGAAAGAGCTCTGGGCGTGCAGTGTGTGTGGAAACTGATAAATTCAACAATAAAATGGATGTTTGGGGATAACTGTGGCTCAGGTGGTAGAGCAGATCAGCTACTGATTGGAAGGTTGGTGGTTCAATCCTTGGCTTCCCCAGTCTGCATGTCAAATATCCTTGGACAAGATATTAACCCCAAGTTGCCCTCTGATGCGTTCATTGGAGTATGAATGTGTGTGAATGCAGATTAGTTTGCACTTGTGTTTAGAAGTGCTTGTATGAATGGGTGAATGTGGCATGTTGTATAGAGCGCTATGAGTACTCCGAGAGGAGAATAGCGCTGTATTAGAATCAGTCCATTTACCGTGTTCCTCAAAAATCTTGTACTAGATGTGGAATGTTGTCAACATCAGGCTCTATTTACGATCCATTGGGATTTCTTGCTCCAGTCCTGCTGCCTGCCAAAAGAATGCAGCAGGAGCTTTGCAAAAGGAAACTGGGATGGGATGAACCAATACCCCAAAACATGTTGCAAAAGTGGAAAAGTTGGCTCAGTGATTTGCAAATGCTTTCTTATTTCAAGGTTAAAAGGTGTATACAACCAAGAGAGTTCGGACCTCTCACACATGCACAGCTACACCATTTTTCAGATGCCGGTGAATCTGGATATCTGCGCATGCAAGACAGTAGGAAATCCATCCATGTAGCATTCTTGATGGGCAAGGCAAGGGTTACACCTCTAAAACCTGTCACTATTCCACATCTGGAACTAACAGCTGCTGTAGTTGCCGTCCGAGTGGATCTCATGTTAAGGACTCAGTTGAGAATGAAACTCAAGCAATCCGTATTTTGGACAGATAGTACATCTGTACTCAAATACATAATGAATGAGGATAAACGTTTACTTACCTTTGTGGCAAACAGTCTTATTCATTGCGACTAAACGATCACAATGGGGATATGTAAGCTCAAAGGAAAATCCAGCAGATGATGCTACAAGAGGGCTGAAGGCTGGGAACATTGCACATAGCAGCCGCTGGATCGAAGGACCAAGCTTTCTGCAGTAGCCAGAAAGTGATTGGCCGACCAGTCTAATGAATGCTCCTTAGAACCAGAGGACCCTGAAGTCAAAGGTGAGGCCACAGTGAATGTTACTCAAGTAAAAGACTTGCTTGATGCTACATGTCAATTGATGGTGTACTTCTCAGACTGGAGAAGGCTCAAGGTTGCTGTTGCTTGGTTCCTTAGACTGAAGGCAATCCTTCCTTCAATGAGAGATAAGAAAAGAAGACCGCAACCTAACTCAAATAATCTAATTTGTAGAGGTACTACAAAGGAGAAAGTAAAGAAAACGCAACTGTATGGTCTATCCTCAAAGGATCTTCTGGAAGCGGCGCTTGCCGTTATCAGATTTTGCCAGCAACAAAGATTTGGAGAGGAGATTGCTACGTTGTCAAGTGGGAAAGGTTCTGTGAGCAGGCACAGCTCAATTTATAGATTAGACCCTTATCTTGATGATGAAGGCCTCTTAAGAGTTGGGGGACGACTGACAAAGGGCTCCTTACCAGAAGAAATGAAGCATCCCTTTGTTCTTGCAAAGGATCAACATGTAGCAAGTCTCATCCTAAAGCACATTCATCAACAGCTTGGTCATAGCGGTCGTAACCACACCTTATCCACACTAAGGAGAAAATACTGGATCACAAAGGCCAACTCAGCTGTAAGGAAGGTTATCGCAGAATGTAATTTTTGCAGAAAATATCATGGAAAAGCCTTGGAGCAAAAGATGGCAGATTTACCCAAGGAAAGAATTTCGCCAGATAACCCACCATTCACCAACGTCGGTGAAGTGAAAAGAGGACGAGGTACAGCTAAACGTTATGGAGTCATTTTCACCTGTTTAGCCAGCTGAGCGGTGCACTTGGAAGTGGCTAGCTCTCCAAGCACAGATGCCTGCATAATGCTTTGCGCCATTTTGTGAGTTGGAGAGGTCAAGTCGCTCGCATTCAATCGGACAATGGAACCAATTTTGTTGGAGCAGACAGAGTTAAGAGAGGCTCTTAAATCGCTGAAACATACCCAAATTGAAGCTGTTTGGAGTTTTAATCCGCCTGGAGCATCACAACATGGTGGAATTTGGGAATGGATAATCCGCATGGTCAGAAAGATTCTGAGATCCGTTCTTCAGCAACAACAGTTGGACGGCGATGGATTAAATACAGTTCAGTGTGAAACTGAAGCAATTTTAAATGACAGACCCATCACAAAGCTTTCTGATGATCCAAAAGCCCCAGAGCCACTTACACCAAATCACATCCTCCTGATTTGACCCTCAGGATATGTATCTGAAGAGAAGATGGAAACAGGCTCGGTACATCTCAGATCTTTGGAAACGATGGCTACGTGAATAGTCGCCTTGGTTACAGGAGAGACAAAAATGGAACCAAAAGAAGAAGAGTCTAAAACCTGGAGATATAGTCATTATAATGGATTCCTCTGCACCACGTGGTTCCTGGCCACTTAGGAGAGTTCTGGAAACCATTCGTGACAAAAATGGACTTGTACGATCTGTACGTTTAAAAACAAAGACTAACGTTCTTGAAAGACCTGTAACTAAACGCCTTGATGAATTTTCAATCATCCAGGTAAGTAAATCTCCAAAAGCTGATTCTGTTCATCTGGACGAGGCGTTTTGTGGGACAAACGTTTCGTCATCATCAGGTGACGTCTTCAGTCTCAGCTGACTGCAGGTTTCAATCTTATAAACAGCACATTTGCATAATGACTGAAACCAGCCCACTGAAGGAACGATGGGCTGGGAGGTCAGTTCCTTAATTAATCGTAATTATGCAAATTCTCATGACCAGCAAGTCACCTGGATGAGTGACGAAACGTTTCTCCCACAAAACGCTACGTCCAGATGAACAGAACCAACTTTTGGAGACCTGTAACTAAACTTTGCCTGTTACATGAGACTGTAGTGTAAAAGTGTATTTAAATGCTCTGTTTACTTGTGTTTATTTATTTGTGTTTATCTTCAGCTCTGCCACCAGCAGCTCATTGTAACGTGCTGTCATGACACGGCTACCTGTCATCTTCCTTTCACTGCTGCTCTTCATTCTGTCCCAGATCACTCTGCTGTGTACAGCGCTCAGTTATCTAAGCTCTAAGTTATACGCCAAAGAGCGACATTTGGAATTTTACATGAATGCAGCTACAGTAACCTCTGTCATGCATCAAGACTAACCTGTCACACTGGGACTCCTGTGGTCCACCAGTGAGTACCAGTAAGAAAGAGACAATCAGTGACTCACGTTCACGTATGTGGACAGCTTCCTCGTCCACTCACTGTGTGAGAAGCACTTTGCAGGCCTGGTGAGAAGCAGAGAGAACACAGATTAATGCACTTTGTATAGTTTATCAGTTTCCACACAGCTTTCCCTCTTCTGTTCAGCTAATGCAGAAGCATGGAGAAGCCTGCACACTGGGTCAGGTTGAAGCTCCCAGTACACAAACCCACTCATGTTTCTGTGGATTTTCCCCAAATAGAGACACAGTTGTTGGGGAGGGAAAAGGATTTATTCAGCCGGTCAGATATTGTACCTACCCTAACAGCGTGTGCACACTCACACACTGTTGTATGCCTGAGGACTTTGTGTGTGTGTTTGTGCTTTCGGAGAGCTCATCTGTGCACCAGGTGCTGCCTTTGGGACTCCAGCATCTTCTTTTCCTTCTTTCTTTGTCTCTTTGTATGAAACATGTACAGTACACAACAACACACACTGTTACACATGGTCTGACTGGTGGACTCTGTGGTAAGCTGAGTTTACACTTCTGTGTTTCACACATGCACTCACAGACCACACTACGAAAAGAATCATTGTTATTTATGCTGCCGCGGTTCTGGCTCAGCTTGACCCAGTATTTTGAGTCGCTATGTTTTGGTGTGTTTTTGCATTTTGGATTCTTTCCTTATTATGATGCTGATGATTATGACTCTTTGTTTCAGTTCTTCTTGTTCAGGGATTAGTTCGTAGGTTTGGTGTTCTCATGTTTATTGCAGGTTTAGTTCAGTGTCTAGTCTGTCTCTGTGTCGTGTCTGCGTCTTTGTTTAGTGCTGTCTTGTTCCCTGTTTTACTCTGAAGGTTCATGTTCCTGTCATATGTCAGTGTTTCTAGCTGTGTTCCCCTTCTGTCTCTAATTCCTTGATGACTTGATGACTTCCTCTGTGTATTGTAGCCCAGTGTGTCTTCGTGTCAGTGTCGCGTCGTCTGTTCATGCACCCTATTATTTCTAGCTGCACGTCATGATTCTAGTCTGCAATATTCGGTATTGGACATGTTCATAGTCACTTTCTCCAGTCATGTTTGCCTGCACCTTCATGTGCCTGCCTCCACAGAGAGAGACGGCGAGTGTAGCGGTCTAGGTCCACAGAGAGAGACGGCGAGTGTAGCGGTC